TGTTTCTGCCAATAGATGGTCCTCAATGTTACACCCTGCTTTGAACTAAATGCTAATATCAGCGTGCTAACATGCTCACAATGACTTGTTAACAAGCTGATGGTTAGCAGGTATGTCTACCATGTTCACCATTTTAGTTTAACATGATAGCATGCTAACATTGGCTAATTAGCACTAAACACAAAGTACAGCTGAGGCTGATGGGAATGTCGTTAGTTTTGCAGATATTTGATATTCTGGGAGCGCTAGATGAAAAGTATCAAATCAATCACTTTATTATTTCAAATTGAAACAATTACCCATTCATCAGGTTTAATTGTGTATTTATTCTAATGAGGGAGGAGCCCAACCAGTTTCTGCAGGTTATTTCTTGGCCCCACCCACTTTTGAATTAAACTCCTGTTAGTTGAGGATGGGAATGGAAAACTGGCCAGTCTGATCGGCAAGTGAATTTAAACTGTTCGGCTGTAACTAATGCTGTGTTGAAGATGTCACTGTTTCTCCGTCTGAACTTTATTCCCTCACACAAAGGCTCCAGTTATCTCAGTTGTCTCTCTGCCGGGGAGAGAGCCAGTCACAAGGACACCACTAGAGGTTCTGCTGGACACGGTGACAGTGGTTCAGTGAAAGACTCACACTACCCACCTACCTCTGCTATCAGCTGTTTCTGGATTTTGAGTTGCTCGTTCAGCTCGTCCTGCCTCTCCTCGAAGGAGATGCGGCAGCAGCGTTGGCTGTTTCTGATTCGGACACCCCAGTAGTTTATCTCCTCCAGGAAGTTGCGTGGACACAGCTCGTCTTTAATGCACAACACTCCAGTTCTGATAGAAAGGACAGGGACCAGAATTTGTATCAATTCATTGATTCTCTTGTGTGTTTTATTATGCGTGTATATACAGTATATAGTTCACCTGTAGAAGTTGAAGATGTTGTGGAAGATTTTAGGGTCCCGGTCAAAGAAGAACTCGTTGCTCTGGACGATGTAGTCGTCACACAGGTCCAACTTCCTGCTGTGGTCTGTGTACGTGGCCAACCGGCCAATCCTTGTCTTGGGGTACCTTGCAGCTAACCTGTAGGGCAAGTGATACAGCTGCAGAGGAGAACAGAAAGGGATAAAGTGATATATAATACAGCTGAAAAAGAAAAGAGGGAACTGGGAACACACATAGAAAGCCTTTAAAATGCTAATCCAGGGTGAAAACACATTGAATAACTAACCTATGCAGATTACAATGTAATTCAAATAGGGGCTATTTGATATCCTTGTAACTAGGACTGCAATGAACAGTTCATTTCATTCCGTATGTTGATAGTTCCTTCCAATAATCAAGTCATTGACAGTCGAAAATGTTGAGAAATGCCATCACATGTTGCCTCAAAACGTCACCAAAACTGTTGAGTTTTCATTTATATGAAACATGAGAAAAACTCCACATTTGACTATCGATCTGATCATGACAGTGTTTACAAGTTTTTGCTTGATTAATTCATTAGTCAGCTAATCGTGTCAGCAATAACTGTAGCACACACACACACACACACACACAAAGGAAACAGCAGCTAGCATTAGAAATAACTGCAGCTGTAACACACATTGCCAGCGGGCGGCTATTTCTTTATGTGCCTGTAGGAGGCGACACCATCAGGCCTAAACTGCTGTTCCTTTCTTTCCTACAGGTGGTGCTGGTTGGCAGGCGCAGAACTGATCTGACAATGACCGAACAGCTCCCCCTGCTGGACAGTCTGCAGCCTGCTAACTGACTGAGTGAGTTGGAAGCTAGTGAAAAAGGCGATATCAGTGTGGTTTTCATGTTTGCGGTAGAAGCTGAGTAAAGTTACCGTTCCTCCAACGTTGATATTGAGAGTGAAGTGTTTGGTTGGAGAGAGCAGCAGGTGGGAGGGAGACACCGGGAATCGACCCTCCTCTTCCTCATCTTCGTACTCAGCATAAAGATCATAGATGTCTCTGCTCAGATCCTTCACACATAACACAAAATGAATTTTAGCATGTTTAGCTTGTATGCGAGATGAATGAGACAATATGAAGAAATGATTAAACTAAGCAGAACACAGTGGAAGAATACTAAAACATACACACAAACATTGGAAATAGACAAAAGAAAATAACAACAAACAAATAATCTCTGGTTCCAGCTTCTCAAATATGTACATTTTTCTCAGTTTTCTATCATTTGTTATTGTGAATTGAATGTCTTTGGGTTCTCACAGTTGGTCAGGCAAAATGTCAGTCAATGTCAGAGTTTTGTGAACAGACATTTTTTCAAGTAAACTACATCTAACTCTGTTGAGGGACATAGGATTTTACTTTAAACCAAAGACCAGCAAAGCAAAAGAGCAACTTTAAGAAAGACTAAAACAAATGAAGAACCACATAAAAGAAGGAAATAAGGTACATAATAACACAAATAAGTGTCTGACCTGCATGGAGCTCCATGGTTTAACAAAGGTGTTGGTGAAGTCCAGATACTCCACCGGTTCTTTGGCGGCTTGAGTCCGGCTGCCGAGCTTGTAGCTGGGGAACAAACTCCTGCTACGGGCTCTGAGGTGGGTCAACATGGTCGCCGCTGAACGGGTTTGAACCTTAAATCCGTTGACCTGCACGGAGAGACATCCTGGCACAAAAGCCTGGGTCACACACACACACACACGCAGGACGACGGCACAAATCAGTAAACATGTATGAAAGGATGGGAAATGTTTCCATTCAGAAAGAAATCAGGTCAACATACATACAGCTGACACACACACACGCACACACACAGTAATGAGGTAGAAAGTGACTGAGATGATCTGGGTGCTTAAAGTTTTAAATACTATTATCCTCTTTTATCCATCTCTTGATCTCTCTCTCTCTCCTCCCACTTACTCCAACATCTCATAACTTTACAAATCCGGACGGGATAACTGAAGTCAAATTCAGTTCTGTTTTAATAATTTGGATGTTTTCCTACATTGCCTTGCAGACAGGTGACAAAATAAAAGGAACAAGACCAAAAGTCTACAGCTGTGCAGAGTGGTGCTTTGAGCTAAACATGCTGATGTTCAGTAGGTATTGTTTACCATAGCTCTCATCTTAGTTGAGTGTGTTAGGGTGCCAACATCTGCGGAAAAAACCACACACAGTACACTAGAGGTTGATGGGAACGTAAAAAATGTCAGTTATTAGCATACATCATACAAAGTTTCATGCTTAATGATCCGTTTGTTGATTTATTCCCAGAATGAGCTGCACTGACTTAGAACCAACCCTTAATAGGACTTAAAGGACAGGTGTGTTGGACTTAGTGGTATCTAGTGGTGAAATTGCAGATTGCAACCAACTGAATACCACTCGGCTACCAAGCACAAAAGGGCCTATCTACAGTGTTTGGTTTGTGAGCCTCCGAAATGTTACACACTGGACCTTTAAGGTTTTATTGATACACGTTAAATCCTTAACCTTAAGTACTGAAAACATTTGGTGGATTATCAGGTCACATTAATTAATTAAATTAATTAAATAATTACTTAAATTAAGGCTGAGGTAAATTATTAATGTTAACATCAAGTTTAACATGGTTTGTCATGGTTACATTCACATCAATGTAAAACCATCTTTGTTAAGCCCACAGGTTTATAACTTTTTAAATGTAGTAATAAAGTAATGTGTAAATTACAGATTTCCAGACATTGTGTTTAATACAGTGAGATTTCTTTTCAATAATGAATGGATGACCTGATATTGAACACTGTTCAGGTAACAATAGTGGAAAACCAGAAGGACACCTGCTGTGAAATGTGTATGTATTTAGCATAGAACATACGCAGACTGTGTTGGGATTTGAGAGAGGGAGTTGGGCTATTTGGCTTCATTTAATTTGAATACGTTTAATGTTTTCAATGTGAAAACTTCAAACTTTTGTTGTTCAATATACAACTCAAAGCATTTTTAAAATGTAAATGTGCAGACAGACTGCGACTTTCCTTTATGTAACTTGGACTTCCACATCTGACATGTCTGCCTTAATCCAGGTGTGTGTTACTTTGTCCCGCTGATAAGTCAACATTCAGACAGGTGGTGATTAATCCTTGCTGCAGTTAAACAGGGATAATGAACGGATGGAGCCAAACTCGTTACAAGTAAAACAACTTAACGGCGCTCCCACCGTCTCCACCCACTTCCTTTACTTCACGAACACGCTCCCTCCTGTTCGGCCCTCAGCTGATGCGATCCGGCCACGATGAGTGAGGAGTGGAGGTTATAGGAGATTAAACTGTGTGCTGGATGCACAGAGGAGGTAGAGGTTTCATGTTTCTCTGCCTCTATCCGCCTCTTGGAACAGCTCCTTGAGGGTCAGGATGCATCACGTTTGCAGTTTGAAATTTTCCTGACTCCTCCTTCTGATCCTCATTTTAAAATCTGAACAAAGTGATGTGAAAAATTCATCCTTGACTGTGGAACAGTGGTTAGTCTTTGAGCCTAAGAAGGATGTTATGTCATTTCAAGTCAAAAGATTAATCACAATCCCTGGAGTTTAAGTAATCTTTGTCTTTTGTCAAGTCGAGTCACCAGATTCCCTTGAAAAAGCAGCACAACACAAAATGTCACTGTACTGAAGATCTAAAGCAGCAAAACAAAGGACACATGGCCGGAATGTGAACACCAACTCTGCAACCATTAATATGGCTGCACATTAATGGCTCACTACACTACATGCACAATAAAATATTGTACTTTTTACTGTAGTGACCAGTTACTTTGCAGACTGACGTGTTCTTTTAATGTGTGTAGTTATGTATGTGTGGCTCTCTGTCTTCTTGTGCACCTCGCCCTGTGTTGTCCTTTTCATTGCTACTGCAGCAGAACAGATTGCCCCTCAGGGACAAATTAAGTTTTTGAACTTCTCAAATTGTTTTGTTTCTACCATTCAAGTTATCCAATATCTTGTGTAGCAGAACCGTTTACATTCTTTCCTCTACCATTTATCATCTCATGTCCCCCCAGACCCCATGGTTGGGAACCAGTGGAAGAAACTACATATAAAATACATCAGACAGCTCCAACAGTAACATACTACTGACCCACTGATGCATCAGTATTAACAATCTAATGAAATACATAATATAGATGAGCCACAAGGAATCTTACTTTTGATATTTGAAAGCTGAACACAGGATTAGTACTCCACCTTAAAGTGAAGGACCCGAGGACCTCCTCTGGGGGCGCTGGCATGTTCAACATTGGTGTAGCAATATTTTGAATAGTGTGCTTCCAATAGCATTAAGACTTTCCTTCATTGGAACCAACAGGACAAACCTTGATAAACCATTCAGACTACACTAGTATGTGACATCCTGACCACACACACACGAAAAAGACAGGAGGCTGTGCTTTTGAACAACTTTGTGGATTAGGTTTTAATTCTCAAGTGATTTGCAAATCAGTTTCTTCACAGATACAGAGCTTTTAAGTTTTATTAGAGTTCCCCCTCACTGTACAAGGCTAGAAAAAGTTCACAGCAACAGCACACAAACATACAAAATAGTTAGCAAATTGAGTTGTGTAGGTTTGTTTTTTTTCTCCTTTTTTCAGCTTTTTCTTTCTTGTTAAATACATCTGAATTCTAACCCTGGTACGATGCCCAACCATAGCAAAAAATTGATTTCAAGTCAAATGTATACAATCTTATTTACACAAGGAACATTTGATCAAAGTGCATTGAAGAGGGTCCTGACTGACCGCCACGTCTTTGAGGGATGATGGGTAAATATATACAATGTTTACAAACGCTATAACCATGGTGATCCTTACACTGCTTCTATAATAATAATAATAATAATAATGAATAATATAATAATATAATAATAATATAATAAAATAAGTAATAATAATCAAACACTGACAGAAAAAACTGCTTGTAAAGAATGCATACCAAGGGAGGTACAATTGCAAGAAAAAAAAAAAAAAAAACAACAATATAAAAGAAAACTACATCTTAGATATTAATGCCAAACATGATAGCTTCATAAATATTCACACATCTGACCTGTTGGATCCAGAGGAGCAAGAGAAACAACGACTGGACCGAAGTTCCCCCCATGAGGGCCTCACTACTACTGACCCCTCCCACTCTGAATACGGTCAAAGAAGGAGTCCCGCGCGTCTTCTAACACATTTGGATGCTGACAGGTCCGAACCCAGTTTTAAATCCAGTCCAGTAGAGTCAATCTGTTTGGGTGAAAACCGCCATCCCAGTTTTAAGAACACAGAAAGCCCTGTTAGAGAGAGAATTACTGCGTTTATCTGCGGTTCTGAAAAGGTGGCGCCGGACTCCTTTAAGAAGGGACGGGAAAGCTGTCCTGAGCCCGAAAATAATAAGACCAAAATGAAAAAGGAATCCTGAAGCGACTTTGGACCGACGAGTGAAAACGGTTATGACACAAATTCTGTGTAGTACTTCTACATAATAAAAAATTTCTTCCGGTCATCCTCTCCATCACATAATGGGACATAATGCATCTTCAGAAGGCTGTGGTCGCTACTGTAAGGCATGCTGCTGTTACGACAACCTCGGATGGCAACGAGAGGCGCCATGCAACACTAACGGTTGCGTAAAAAAACAGAAAAAAACAACAAACCCAGAACGATCATATATCGTCATCTGTGCTCACTATCGAAATCATGGAGACAGAGAGGGAGGGGGGGGGAAAGAGAGAGATAATGGGATTCATTAAACATTTGATTACTTTGTTCTAGTTACCTAACATCTCTAAAAGTTACTGAACATGTTGCATTTAGTTTGTTTCATCTGCAACAGAAGGAAGAGTAAAAAACAACCATATGGTAATTTGTCTGCTGCAGCTGTGAGGCCACGCCAGAGGTTTGTGGTCCATCTTGTGGCTCTGGCCGGGCTTAGGTTACTCTGTTTAATCTGCTCTGTGGACGGCCAACAATGAACTAGGGATTACTGAAGCCACCAAGGTCAGGGTGACAGTGGCGGTCATTAACATGCAGTCCACCATCCTGTGTGTCAGAATGAAATGACTCTAGCTGCACGGCTGCTCAGAACATCTACCCCACCTCATTAGTTTTGTAAGCCAAAGCAATACAAGAGCTCCTTTTATTATTCAAGAGCGTTTATCATGATTTAGAGTTCTACACTTCTAAAGTGTGTATTCTTTACGGTTATTGGAGACGAGTTTTTGAGATCGGTACACCCATCACCTGAGGTTGTTTGCTGACCCATTCTTTCCTACGGTACCCTTCGCTTGGAGGTCGTTTACTCACCGCAGGGTAGGTGTGTCCCACCACGTTGGGCCCGTGCCGGGTGGTTCGAATGTTGAGGTCTTCTTCTGTGGTCTTCAGGTAGACGGGATTGTCAAACGTTCATGCCTCTCTGGTTCTTCAGCTGCCAGTTTCCCACATCAGGTATCCGCCCGCTGCCGCCATGCCGCCAGCAGCACTGAGTACAGGCAATATATAAAAGATAAAAATGACATATCGCATCTTAAATAAGCTAATGTTAGCAAAGGTGTGTTAACTAGCTAATCTACATAGAAAAGCCTAGCACAAGAGT